CTAGCAGAAATACTTTTGGAGTCTATTTGTGTTACAGACTTTGATTTGAAGGTGTAGTTATAATCATCATTTTGGTTGATAGGAAAAAATCAACTTCTGTGTGAGAAAACATTGAGGAGTATTTCTGAAAATGAGTTCTGAAAGTAAAAGTGGAAAAGCAAAGTTTTATACTTTATGTATCTAGCATATTACAGAATTAATAAGCTTCCTGGGGTGGGCCATATATTATCTGTCTGTCTGTTTAGCTATCTATATGAATTATTTTTTTTCTTGGTGCCTTTTTCTTTCCAAACTTTAAACGTGTTTTGTTTTGTTTTGTTTTTTAAGAGATGGAGTGTTGCTCTGTCGCCCAGGCTGGTATACAGTGGTGCCATCATAGTTCACTGCAGCCTTGAAATCCTGGGATCAAGTGATCCTCCCGCCTCAGCCTCCCTGGTAGCTGGCATTACAGGCATGATTTGGTGTGCCTGGCCTTCCAAACTCCTTTTTTTTTTTGCTGAGCATATATTGTCTTATGTAATTAGAAAAAAAATTCTAGGATAATAAAAGAGTTTTAGGGTTTACATAAAAGACATTAGAACATTTTGGCTCCATATCAGCAACTAACCAATATTTTGAAGCACCCACTATGTTTATTGATAGTTACAATATAGAACCTTATTTCTGTTGTTAATTTTAAAAATGGTGCATCTTTTATAAGTACTTTTGAAGTAATCTTCATCTCCTATGTGATAGAAAAGGGCCATCATAGATTTCAGTACTTGTGTACCTCGCCTTTTACTCTCTTCTGCCTCACCTGCAAGGATCCAAAATGTTAATTTGGTTTTGAAGAACCAGTTGATACTTATTAACTTATGAACTTCTTAAGTCATGGGTATACTTTTGAATGATCACCTATTGGATTTGTCCAGGAATTATGAAGTTTGTTTTTTGAGAGAAGTGTTTTTTTTTTTTTTTTTTTGAGACCGGGTCTTCCGCGGCTATCGACAGGCTGGAGTACAGTGGCGTGATCTCGGCTCACTGCAGCCTCTGCCTCCCAGGTTCAAGGGATTCTCCTGCCTCAGTCTCCCAAGTAGTTGGGACTACAGGCGTGTGCCACCACACCCAGCTAATTTTTTTGTATTTTTAGTAGAGATGGATTTCACTGTGTTAGCCAGGATGGTCTCTATCTCCTGACCTGTGATCTGCCCGCCTCGGCCTCCCAGAGTGCTGGGATTACAGGCGTGAGCCACCGCGCCCGGTGGAGTTTTGTTTTCTTTTGTCATCTTCTGTTTTGCTGCTTATCTCTTGGTTTGATCATTTTTATTGTTTGTAGGCTTTCTTTTTTTTTTTTTTTTAAATAAAAAATAATAGAGATAGAGTCTCTTCACGTGGCCCAGGCTAGTCTCAAACTCCTGGGCCCAAGCAGTCCTCCCGCCTCAGCCTCCCAAAGTGCTGGGATTACAAGTGTGAGCCCCCATGCCCGGCCTGTTTATAGGCCTTCTAAAGGTAGACCAGTTATCCATGTAACGAGGAGGGGCAGAATTACTTGGTCTTAGTTCATAAATGGGCAAGTCTGTACTATTGGATATTCTTCACCCCTTTGCTTAACCACATGCAGTGTCGCAAGGCATTGCTGTTGGAGCTGGACATATTTTTCCCCTCTTATCTTCACAGCAGCCCTGCAGAAGTAGCCTTATCACTATTTTGCAGATGAGAAAAGTGAGACTCGCAGCATCTCAGTGAGTTGCCCAGGCCCAGCCATACAGCCTCTTGGTCCCGTGTGGGATTTCTGCTCAGATCTCTCTGGTTTCCGAACACATACTCTCTACGCCACTCAATGCTGCCTGTGCCATCAGATTCTCTTCAACTGTGAGCTGAGTCTTTTCCAGAGTCTCAGTTGGCCCTTTGAATGTTTGCTTTAAACTCCTTTAGCCTGGACAAATGCTAATTGTTTGGTAGGAGACACTCTTCATTTCTCTAGAATCTTCAGATCATTAGGGGAGAGGAGTATTTTAGATGAGTCCTTGAAGGGTGAGTGTATTAACTCACCTGAGTGGAAAGGGTCCCTTGGTAGCAATATCATTCTCCTCTCTGAGAATCTGGTGAACCATGGAGAACATAATTTTGTAAGTAGGACATGGTAATAGTTAAGCTGCTTGAAAAGCTACTAACTCCCAGATTTTACTAGGAAATCCTCATCTACTAGTTGAAAAATCTAATCCCTCCCCACCGCTTCCTTCTTTTTTTTTTTTTGAGACGGAGTCCTGCCTGTCACCCAGGCTGGAGTGCAGTGGTGCGATCTAGGCTCACTGCAAGCTCTGCCTCCCGGGTTCACGCCATTCTCCTGCCTCAGCCTCCCGAGTAGCTGGGACCACAGGCACCCGCCACCATGCCAAGCTAATTTTTTTTTTTTTTTTTTGTATTTTTAGTAGAGACGGGGTTTCACTGTGTTAGCTAGGATGGTCTCGATCTCCTGACCTCATGATCCACCCGCCTCGGCCTCCCAAAGTGCTGGGATTACAGGTGTGAGCCACTGTGCCCGGCCTTTCTTTTCTTTTCTTTTTTTTTTTTTAACTCCTTAAATTTTTTGTAGAAACGAGAGTCTTTCTATGTTGTACAAGCTGCCCCAAAATGGGCTCCTCCCACCTCAGCCTCCCAAAGTGCTGGGATTACAGGTGTGAGCCACCACACCTGGAACTCCTTCCTTTTTTTAGGTTTGAAGGAGGAAATGTCATTTTATTACAGGTGGAGTGCCCCTTATCCTGAATGCTTGGGACCACAGGTGTTTTGGATTTCAGATTTTTTTAGGTTTTGGAATATACTTACCAATTGAGCAGTCCAAATCTGAAAATCTAAAATTCAAAATGCTCCAATGAGCATTTTCTTTGAGTGTCATGTCAGCACTCAAAAAGTTTCAGGTGTTGGAGCAATTTGGATTTTGGATTTTCACATTTGGGATGCTAAACTTATACCAGCAGTCAAATTGTGGAATGCCAAGGTTTTATTCTCATATCCCATGGAATCGGATACAGTCTCACTCATATAAGGAATTAGGGACATTGCAGCATGATTAGGAACCTGGTTAAATCCCATGATGAAGTTCAGAATTAAACATATGTAAAAAAGGAGATGTGAGTTGGTTTGAGCCTTGGAATTTAATTTCTTTTTTTTTTTTTTTAAACACCAACTCAAACCAGATGGAACTGAACTTCTTTATGGAATCTTTGCACTTCCACTTTGAGTTGGTAAAGATTATTTAGCATAAGCTCACATAATTGGCTCTGCTGGGAATGTGCACAATCTGGATGGTTGGAAATCTAATGGCCTGGAGATATCATTCTCTTCTATTTCACAGACATGCTAGGTGATAACATCAGAGCAGGTATAGTTCCCATCCTCTAGAAACTGTCAATTGAAACTAACGCCAGCACTAATCACATGGTGGATGCTGCAGAGCGCTTCACTCCTCTGCTCTCCTCCTCACAAGAATCCCTGTAGCAAGGTGTCATTTTACAGATCGGGAAACTCAGGCTCAGGAAGACCTGGCCCCAGGTCACATTGCTAGTAAGTGGCAGAGCTGAATTCAGAGTCAGAGCTGCTTGACCCACAGCCTAAATTCCTCCTCAGGGCACCTTTGCCTGTTAGGAGGAGGAGGGCAGAAGGAGACTGATGGCAAGCTGGTTTCTAACCGACCGGTTTGAGAATGGGGAAGAGGTCATGTGCATAGCACCAGGCGCCATAGTAACCGCCCTCTCACATGGCCATCTTCAGTACATCCTCTATGGCTTCAGTTTCATTTCACTGGATGTTTAAGGACTAGTACTCTTCATATGACAGCTGAGTATGGCACACGGACTCCTCAATTCAGGTGGGTTCTTCAGGCCCACTGCCACCTCCTGTGGGGCCCAGGACAAGGGTATACTTGAAGGCACATATATTGTATGTGGGATATCGCAAGCTACCAAGCTGGGAAATATGTTCTGTCCTCCTGTGTTGACAAATAGACCTTGATCACGACCTGGAAGGGTGAGCTCTTGAACTCTCTGAACTCCTGCAGAAATGTAGAGGCCTTTGGAGAGTTGCCTCTGATTCATACACTTTCCTGCTTCTCTTCCTGCCGCCAGCTCTTTCTGGCCTTGTGAGGAGTCTCACCCACAGCCTGGATGGATTCTCTGGTCTGCATGCCTAGTTCCACTCTTGCTCCTGCAAACGGCTATCCCTTGGCCACCATTCAGGTCAAGACTTGCTACACTGATGGCACAACCTCCCTCAGGAGGATGGATTCAGAAAAGATGCCTGCACCAACCCTGGGAGTGGGTGTGGAGCTTGGGGGACAGGGAATCCTGGGGCGCTGGGAGCCTGATCTGGTACGTGGGATGTGGACTCCTGGCGGGGCATGTCTCCTTGGTGCTAGAGACTGCAGAGCCCGCGGGGTGGGGTGCAGTGGGAGGAGGGCTAGAACAGGCCCTGGGAAGCAGAGGCCCCTTGTCAAGGTTCAAGGGCAGTACTGGGTTCTCAGCACCAGTGCTTTCTGAAGAAGGCTTGGAGGCAGAAGGGAGAACTGCAGCTATGTGAAAACTGGCCCAGTTGCCACTCCTGAAATTGGCGGCTTTTCACCTTTTCTGCAGCCCCTTCTCCTTCCATAGGAGCAGCACGCTACTGTCAGTCATGTTGGTCTCGTGCAGGGCTGCTTGTGAGGGATTGTATCAACATCTGCAGCCGAGGTGGGGAGAGGAGGTGTGTGTAGTTTCCAAAATGCTTCCCTGCAGGCTCTCATCGGCCATCCTAGGGGAGCGATCCTCCACCCCATCCCCTTGGACAGGCCTTAAGTGCCTTTACCTGCCGGCAGAGAAATGCTAGGAAAATCATTTCTGCCATCGCATCTCTTTCAATTTTAAATCCAGGAATTATGCTCTGAGGACTTCTTCAGAAGAAATTACTTTCCAGCTAGATTTCATGCGAGCACTTTAATTTTGTCACAGTGGCATCCAGCAGCTGGAGGGTCTGTCAGCCATGGAGGTGGAAGTCAGGTGCAGCTGCAGCAGCCGCCGCCACAGAAACAGCCCAGCATGCCCAGCATGCAAAACCTCAAGTTCAACCGCAGAAGAGGTATGAGTCTAACATCAGGTACAAATAAGGATTTCTCTTTATTGATGCAGACACCAGTAGACCCAAGCTGCCTAGGAGGAAAGGTGCTGGGAAAAGCCAGTGTGGAAGGAGCGGTGTGCTATTTTCTTGGCTTCCTTTCAACAGCTGTTAAACCACAGATTTTACACCCTCCTTCCCCACTGGATCTTTCCTCGCAACAGGGCTATTGTTAAAAGACACAGTTGAGTACAGTCTGCAAATTGTGTTAAGAATTTGGTTCTGGAATATGTCATATAACACAAATTATATATGCTGGAAATGTATTTATGAACCTAACATAATTATGCCTATGAAATGTATGTTCTGTACAGGATAACGAATAACTGATCTACTAAGAATTTCTATAGGAAACTAGAGTATTGTTTTTCATCCCTTAACACAGTGAACGTAATTATAAAGGAAGTAATATGATTTATCATCTATTAAAGAAGTGAAGTACACGTTTCATACCTCACCTCTTCTGTTGCTGGTGGCTGGCAGCAGGCATGGCATTGTTGCAAGGGTCCTCTTTAGTAACAGAAGTCACAACTGCTCCCAAGTCTTCCTCTGTACAGAGGCAACAGAAGACTCTATAAAGGGAAGTTATCGAGATGAGTACATAGAAACAGCACCCTTTAATATCAGGCAGAGCGAGATAAAGTAGCTAGGACCTATTTAACTCCATGACCTTTCTCCTAGATCACACATTGTTTGATGAAAATTATACAGGTATGAGTGTGTGTGTATAAATA